ACATTAACATTATGCTTCGTGGCGTCTGCTCTGTCTTCTGATACATCGTTATCTCATGGTAGAAATACTCAATAAATGCTTGATGAAGGAATGAATGAGTGAATGACGGCGAGAATGAGCACTTAGTACTGTCCCTGGAAACCTATTGTGCATTAACTTCAATTCAATAAAGGGGGCTACATTTTATTATTTGATAAAATGAACGTATTCTTTTCTCATTCTTTTGCATAACATTGGTGCGGTGATTATGGTCACATGAAAGAAGACACATTTGAGTTGCTATAAAAAATATCATTGACTGAGTGGCTTATACACAGTAGAAATTTATTTCTCACAGTTTCATAGGCTGCAAGTTTGAGATGAGGTTGCCAGTATGGTCAGAAGGAGGAGCCACTTTCGGGTTACAGACTCGTAATTATATCCTCACATGGTAGAAGGGGAAAGAATCTCCCTGAGTCTCTTTTATAAAAGCACTAATCTTATTCATGAGGATGCCACTTCCATGATCTGATCACCGTCCAAAGCCCCTACCTCCCAATACCATCATATTGGACATTAGGATTTAACTTATGAATTTTGGGGACATACACACACATTCAGACCAGAGCACCACTGCTGCTGGGTGTGTCGACAGATGACGGCACTTAGCTGAATCCCACTCACCAACCTCCAATCCAGCCATTGCCCTTTGCTGAGTGATCACACACCTTTCCTGTTTGCAGCCTGCATCAGACGTTCCATGTGAGGGTATAAAGCCTTAGCCACCATCCTCCAATTTGGGACAACTCTGCAAGGACATTTCAGCACCAAATATCCTCATGGGATAATCTGAGCCTTTGTTGTGACTACATCAGAGCCAGACTTTTCCTTCTGCTTTATCCTACTTTCTTCATTTCCCCACAGGCCCCAAGAACACCCCCCATTAAACTTCCTGCAAGGAAATTTAGTCTCAGAGTTTTCTGGAGAAGCATAACCTCTCACATAACATGTTTGTTAATTTTCAAACTCTTAGTTTACCAGAGCTAGAATGATGTCAAATCTCATCTATTTTTTCTTCCTTAAGTCTAAACCAATACCACATTACCATATTTAGACCTGAGGACTTAATGTAGAAATTGAATCCTGCTATTAAGACTTCGGTGAACTTTTTTTTTTTTGACAATAGAACATTAAAGTCTGAATTCCACACAACTTTTCTTAACCTATACAAGTAGCTTAATCCCTTAACACTTCATTCTCCATTACTTCCTCTCCTAGTGTGACTCGGATATTTCATTGTTAAACCCACAGAGATAATGACCTCTGCTTGCAGAATGAAAAGAAAGAAAAGAATAATATACTGGTTTCCCATAGAAATGGTTTGAATGAGGGTGAACCTTCATGATTTTTAAAATTCATTTGTTTCTTTGATTTCTAGAGTACATTTTCTTCAAAGGTTTGAAACTCAAAAGGGGTTTTTAACTTTCTCCTTTTCCAATTCTCTAGGTTTCTCCATGTAAAGGTACTGTAATTAGGAGGATAGGCCAGATACTAGTACACCCTACTTCCTGTTTTATTTTTCTTTGTTGAGAAAACCACATACAGTACTTTCAGAAAGATGAAATAAATAGGGCTGGTTCCAAACTCAATTGTGAAATAAAGTTTGTTCATGATGAACCTCTAGCCTTTTGTGGTAGACTCTTTCCCTTTGTGGTTTCTCTTCCCCAACTCTGGGGCCTTCTCAGCCCACTGCCAGCTTCCTGCCCACCCCTCCTCTCAGCATCCTTCTCCTTCATTCAGCATTCCCTGTTCTGCTGTTCTCCATTCATGACCCAGAACCAGTTTGATGACTCCCATGTTGCCTATTGTCACTACAACAGAAATGTCCCTGGTCTATAATATAATGTCCCTGCTCATCACCCAAGGCCCACTGTGCTCTCTTAGGAGACAGTTTTGCCTGGCACTCTTGTAGTTGATTAGTAAGTACTTAAGTGGATGAGTGTATGAATAAATAAACTGCTCTGTCAATACACCAGTTAGCATCCCTCTTACCTCCACCACCCCAGGCATATATATATACTAATAGGGGCCTGATAAAAACAGCATACCTTCCTTTACAGCATGACCAAACTAGGTGAGTTGGGGGAGGAGTCCCATGATAGGTGGTTTCTAGAGTATTCTATTAACTATGCACTTCTGATGCTTCACATCTGGGGCCTTGCTGATGCTGGAGAGATTGTTCCTCCCAGAGCTAGCCAATTCCTAGAGAGAGTAAACAACTCACCTGTGAGAGCAAGCATGTCAAACGCACAGCTGGCAGGCATGTGGCCCACCGGCCATGAGTTTGACATGCTTGTGAGTGTCTTTCAAATGCAAACCAACCAATCCATAGCCCATATTCCACCCACCTCCTTTACTGAGCTCTCACAGGGCTCGCACACTGGTTCATCATCCACCTGCCCTAATCACCAGGCCCAGATTCCAGACAGCTCAGGACAGCTCTCAGGACTCAGAGCCTGATGAAAGGATTCAAACCAGCCAATCTTGCTTACCCCAGCCTGCCTGTTTCCTTCTGCAGAAACCACGATAAAGGCCCATATTTTCTCTCTGCTCCTTCTGCCTCCTGACCAACCATACTGCCCTGGGAACATCACATGTTCCCTCCTCTTGGGAACTGTAACAAACTGTCTTTTCAATGGCATTTTCCTCCTGACCTGTTAATAATAATAAAACCTACATTTTTTAAACTTACCTCAACTACTTCACTAATCTCAAGTGGGATTCTTTTAAGAGCCTGAAGAAAGCGTCTCCTTTCCATAAATTCTGAAATTAGAGAAATGACTTTTACTCAGAGAAGGTAGTGTAGTATTAAATAAAACATAAAAATAATGACAGACTTTATTTAATATACATTATCACCCTGGGGTCTCAAAAAAGCCTATGAATTATTGTATTCTTCTCAATGACTGAAGTTCAAAGATACAAAGTGGTTTTCTCAAGGTCACAGAGCCACATACACAAACGAAGCGAGACTCAAACACAAACTTTCCCAGCAGTCCTCTGACTCAGGCTCTGCTCCCACTCCTTCCTCTATCATAGTCTTCCCAAACTTCCAATATCTTTTACAAAGTTTTCTTGCATAACATCATTGTTTCCTTCAGACTTGAAAGAAAAAGTATGGCAACTTGGGCCAATAAATGATTCCACAATAAAAAATATGGCTGAGCTATATCTAAATCTTTCAATAATAATCCAGTCTTGGGGAGGTGAATGTAGTGTTTTAAGAGGATATTACCAAAAAACAGAGATGATCTATAAATTACAGGAGTTTATAATACTAAGTCTGACCTTTAGTGAATTAATTAGAACCTTTACAAATTTTCTTTCTGAAGAAGTTCCATTCTTTGGTCATGAGTCCCCAGAGCTACAAAGAACAGGGTTGGCTGAGGAGAAGACAGGAAAAAACACCTTGCAGTTTTGGAAAGACATAAACTGAAAAGAAATACTGAAATTCACTACCTAAAGAATGAAAATAAGCATACAAAAGATAATATAAAATTAAAGTGCTATTGAATGCCATCAAGCAGCAAAGGGCAAATAAAGATGCTAAAACTTGCCTGGCTGGCATGGCTCAGTGGTTGAGCATTGACCTATGAACCAGGAGGTCACAGTTCTATTCCCGGTCAGAGCACATGCCTGGGTTTGGGGCCCAATCTGGTCTGGGCACATGCCTGGATTTGGAGTCCAATCCCCAGTGTGGAGCGTGCAGGAGGCAGCGTATCAATGATTGTCTCTCATCATTGATGTTTCTCTCTCTCTCTCCCTTCCCCTTCCTCTCTGAAATCAATAAAAATATATATTTTTTAAAAGATGTTAAAACCTATGTGGTCAGTGTTAACCAGTTAATGGGAAGAAAACTTCAAGTATAATAATTGAAAAGTTAATCCAATATTGAACAAAATATAGTTGGTGAAAATTTATTTGTTAGCATTTACCAAATTACTATATAACAGTTTGGAATTTCACTGTTTTATACAAGAAAGAGGAAAGGAAGAGAGAGAAATAATCAAGTGAGTCAAATGATTTGGAACTTTAAAAAAATATTGCCGAAAGAGATGGATTGTGAATGAGGAGAAAAGAGAACTGGATAAGGGGGCTGAAAAGCAACCAACAGGAGGTCGAAGTTGCTATTTGGAGATGGTGATTGGCAGCTGTTAAGAATTTCCACAGAGTGTGGCTAAGAAGAAACAAGCTTGTGTGCCTGGGGGACCTCAGCTGGATATCAGGAAGAATCGCTGACTGTAAATGTCAAGAGCTCTGGTTTTCAGGATCAAAGGGAGGCTTCTGGGATGTGCCTGTCCTTGGAGTATTTTTCAGCCTCAAGCAAGAGACTGTTTGGGTGGTTTTCTGCAGGCCTGTGGATAGACTGGATGGCCTGCTCAGACTCCGCAGGTCTCATGTTGCTGAGAGGTGTGTCAAACACAGCTGCTTTCACAGTGTCCTTGCCAGCTGCTGACTCCCAGCTCAGGGTCTGAAGGAACAACTAAGTCTTTCACTCTCTGTTCCTCCCTTGGACCAGTCCTTAGGAGTATACTGTGGTTTTCAGCCCTTGAGCACTTAGGTGCTCTCCTTCTGAGCCAAGGGCCTCCTGGGAACAATGGAGCATCTGTGTGTTGACAGTAACAGCCTGTGAGCCAGAGACACTTGGCCAAGCTCTCCCGCCCACATGGCTGGATTGCACACCTCACCTGCAATAATCCGTGCTTAGTCAGCACTAGCCTGCCCCAGGGCCAAGTGCCCCGCTCCTCCTACCCCTTCCCCAACCTGTTACCTGATTTGAGTCTGAGCAATTTGGCCACATTTATACTAATCCTCACGCAGGATGGTCTCTACTTACCTCCTATCCCACCCACGGAGTGGCTCATAGCCTGACACCAAACAGTAGGCACCAAAGGGTGAGGTACCTACTGCTTAGCTGGGCAGCTGGATATTTACAAAAGGTTTGCAAAGAGATGCCAGTCTTTTCCTATAACATCATTGCCTTTTATTTATTATGCAGTTGTTGATTTACATGGGGAGTTGGGAACACAAAACAAGCAAAGACTTTTACATGGTCTGTTTCTGCTGAGTTCAGAACCTTGGGAACATCATTTGACTCCTGGCAAAAAGACAGTTCCACAAAGGTGTGTAAAACCCTTTTGTTCTTGGGCCCAGGGGGATAGGTGCTTATGAGGAAAGTAGAGTTTCAACCCTTATAGAGAAGAAACTATGTTGTGTGTAGGTCATGTGCAGTGTCCAAGTTCAATATTAAATGACAAATCAGGACAATTTCCTTTGAGCCATGTCTCTTCATGCTGGTGTCACAGTATGTATTCCTCTTAAAGCCTCCACCCAGTGGTATCATAGTGGTACTACAGCGTTTGGGTTTACATGGTATGAATGCATAAGAGAAAATTGCACGGGTAGTGAGAGAATATAGGCAAATTAAAAGAAAGGACAAGGAGAATAAATGAGATTTTAAGGAACAAAATGGAGGTGTGTGTGTGTGTGTGTATGTGTGTGTGTGTGTGTGTGTGTAGGACCTGGTGATTTTGTTGTTTAGTGTCCCTGAGGTTTGAGTTGCCCCTCTTCATTCAGCATGAAGTAGATGCTTGTTGGTATGCGGAAGTATTGGGGGAAAATTAGAGTTCCACCTTTTGAGTCTTTTCTTCTGAGTCATGATTTTCACTCTGAAAAATGCCAAGACATGATATTTAGATTTGGAGTCTACCCCTGGAAGTCCTAAATCTACCTGCAATTTTTGTCTTATGAACTCTTTATATGGAATTTGTTTCCTATTGATATTGTACATAGAATGGTGAAATACAGAATTCAGCTCTTTTGAATAGGCAAGACCTTTCCCAAAATGCTTTTGCAGTTCTATCTCCATGACTATCTCCTAAAAAGCACCCCAACTCTGTCTACTGTGTCCTCATATACCTTTGCTCTTAATCAAATCCAGTGGAGCCCAAAGAGTTCTTATTCAATAGGAATAATAGAGACATAGAAAGAAAGAACATTCAACTTGCCTTCCCTGTAGTCTCACACTTACCAGCCTTTTCCCTTTTAGGAATCCATCACAAAAGTTTTGCACGCCCTCTATTGAAACTTCTGTCACGTGCAGTGTATCCCACTCCTCATCTAGAGTCCGGTAAATTGCCAAAGCGGGCAGTTCAGATTTCTTTAGTTTGAAAAATGATATCACCTTCCCATTTTCCTTCACACCACTGTCCACCAGAATAAAAAGTATCTGCAGTTGAAGAAGTTTGAAAGAGAAAGATCTATCTGAGGTCCTGAGGAGACAGAGGTACCTTGTAATGGTAGCAGTTTATTCTGATTGAATTTATGGTTTGTGCCACACAATTTAAATCTCAATTGACTCAGAATGGCTTTGTTCTTGCTTTGCATTGCTTAAGTATTTTACCCCTTTGATCAGATTGATTCAATTTTAAGAACATAGACTTGGAAGATACTTCAGTGATTAACTTTAGTGATTAACTAAGTAGAGCCTAATGGTTAAAAGTGGAGAATAAATTTTAAATTTTGCTTCTGGTACTTTTTAGCTGTGTGACTCAGAGCACATTACTCAGCCTCTCTGAGACTCAGTGCTCTCATGGGCAAAGTGGGCTTTTGTTGGGGGAGATTAAATGAGAGGATGCATTTAGTATTTCCAGTACAGTTTTTGGCATACAGCAAGTGCTTGACAAATGTTAACTATATATTTTTTTATGATAAAATCAAACCCTCTACCAAAAGTAGAAATCTTCTTTATAATATTTTGGTTAGAGGATTATCTGTATTCAATAACACTGAAAACTTACAGTGTTATAGAAACAACCACCAGAAGGTCAGCTTATTTAATCATCTGACAGTTCTTACCATTGAACAGGTCATGTAGTTCAATATAGTAACCTTGAAGGTGTTGAAGTTTTCCTTGTAAGTGATATTAAATAGAATTGCACAGAGTAGGGAAGAGAAATAAATAAATATTTATTATCCATTAGGCACCAGGTACTGGACATTCATTAAGCACCAAGTACATGAAAGGTGTTTGATATGAGAAATAAGTCCTGAGGTCTAAAAATGTAAGGGATCATGACAAGGAGAAAAATATTGTAATAAATAGGTGATTTTTATTTTCACTTCTCAATGTAGGAAAAAAACAATAGACTTTACCACTAATGGAAGATATAATTATACAGGTCTTAAATAGTAAAAAATATAACATCTTTAATTTTAAATCAGAGTAATGTGATTTATTATGTCCCAGTTAATATTTGATCTCTTAACCATACTAGTTTTCCTTATTTATCTCACTTCCCTAACCCCATTTGCCTTTTTCTACTGGCCTGGTGCTGAGTTTTCAAAAGGATATCTCCCAAAGAAGACTTACCTTCCCCTGGAAGAGCTTAGCTGCCTTGTGGTATCTGTGCGAGCTTTCTTCATACTCTGGGGAGGCCTTGTCCATCATCAGGAGAAGATGAATCTGAACCATGCTATTAAATAGGCCAATCACAGTCTGGCAAATTGAAATGCATTATAGTAGAATGAAAGAGAGAGGAAGAAAGCAAAAACCATTAGTGGTCACCCAGGGACTAGGCGAACTACAACATAAATGAGAGCTGTTCATCCATAACACAACTGGTAACTAGTCTCTAAGATGCCTGTCAGTAAGGTTCACCCTCTGGTTCTCATGCAACTGTGCTGATCCCTTTCCCCTACACTGAGTAAGGCTGAGTGGAGTAACCAAGGGCATATTGCAGAAATGATGGAGTGTGACTTCCAATGTTGTCATAAAAGACATCATGGTTTCTGCCTTGCTCTCGCTTATATTACTCACTCTGGGGAAAACCAGCCCCAATGTTGGAGAGATCCACAGGGCAAGGGACTGAGGCCTCCTATTAACAGCCAGCACTGATTTGCCAGTCTTGTGATCCAACCATCTTGGAAGCAGATCCTCCAGCCCCAGTCACACCTTCAGATGACATTGCCTCCCTGATCAATGATTGTAACTGCACAAGACACCCAGATCAAAAGCAGAAAGATCCTACCTAGTTGCTCCCTCTCAGTCTAGCCACTCCCAGATTGTTGACCCACAGAAACTGTGTGTAATAAATTTTTACTGGTTTAAGCTGGCAAGTTTTGGGATAATCTATTATGTATCAATAGACAGCAGATATACCATGTACTATACTAGTCACTTTAACTACATATTAGTAGTGCATTCTTTGAGTGCCTATTATTTGCTGTGCACTGTTTTCAGGTTTCTACATAACAACTTATTTAATCCTCTAAGTCCCAGTTTCATAAATGAGAAAACTGAAGCAAAAACTCTACCAAAGTCACATAAATGGTGGACTTGGATTAATGCCAAGCCGTCTGACTCCAGGGTCTTTGCTCTTAACCATCAGGATGTACCGCCTCATCCACAGCTGATTACAAAGCCCCAATCTGAACCAGTTCAACCCTCAGTGTGAATGAATCAGTCTACTTTGGGTCAGCAATACAATGAGCTTTTCAGGAGATCAGAGGTGTTGGCCCCTTTTTGCTGACTCACCAGGAAGCTGTCAGTGATGAAAGGGGTGGGATAGCCCTGAGCCAGAGTGAGGAAAGGAGGGGGTGAAACCAGGGCACTGCTTCCCTTCATTTCACTTTCCTGAAATAGTGCTACAGGTGTCTTTATTTTAAATGAATCCCATTCCTTTCCACCTCTTCCTTTAAAATACAGAAAGCATTGCTGTAAAACCAGCACGTACACAGCAAGAGAGAGTATGGGGGTTAATGAACCATTGGGCAGAGTCCCAGGATGGTGGGACGGGGAGCAACTAGGTATGATTTTTCTGGAAGCTGTACATGCTCAATAGAGATTCTCTAGGTCTCATGGCCAACATGTTGACAAAGGAGGCCCAATGAGTTCTTTTCCCCAAATTTCTCCCTATAGTTTAAAACCAGTTCTTAGATTTTAAATTGGGGATACTTGGTGTTAAAGAATTGTCTTTTGTTTGATTAGATTCTGCTACTTGAATTTAGAGCATGCATCTATCCTCCTAGAGCATACATAGAGGATGATTCTTGGGAAGAGTCAAGAAATCAAAACTAAGGAGTTAAAAGGTACCGTTGTCTTAGCAGAAGGGATTGGACATATCAGAAGTGATTAGTTTAATTCTAATAAACACAGCCTGGTTTTTAGCCTTGAAGCCAAGGATTGAGTATGTGCATTAAAAGTGCATGGCAGGCCAGACACATGGCTGGGAGTTTCTGTCCAGTTGCTACTGATGCAAACCTTGCACTGGAAACAGCTAAGACATAGCTATGTAGTGTGGGCAGGTCTCTAAGTGAGAAAAGTACTACTTTTGAGAAATGAAGACGTTACAATAAAAGTTAAACTTGCTTCTCTAAAGAAATTCTTATTTAATTTCTTCTTGATGTGGATTGCCTTCACTACTAATGTGAAACTTAAAAAAAGGGTATTATTCTCTAAGATAAGAGATGGACTGGGCATAAGAACTCAAGAAGGCTAGTCTTTGCCCCTGCCTTAGTTAGCCTGCAGAACTCCAGGACCCTGAGCCCATAAACTCAGAGACCATAAAATCAAATTTTCTGGTTCCACATGCACTCCTGGAATCTCTGTAGACACAATGGTGAGAACGACGATGGTCGAGAAAAATGCCTTTTTAATTATTGCTGCCAACACACGCTGGGTGCACGTGTTTGAAATCTTAGCAAAAGTGGAAATGGAGTCACCACTCCATGGAGACAAACATGGTGTGAGAGGGGGGCAGGAATTTAGTCAACAGGAAAAGGGGTGTTTTCCACTGAAGGCTTTGTAGGGCAATGGAAAAAACACAGGATTCAGTCAGACAGACCAGTCATGAGGAAAGCAGGGGCAAGTGCAGAGGGCTGTCTCTGAAGCTCAAATTGCTAGGCATATGGCTTTGAGGAAATTACTTCACTTTTCTGAATTCCCATTTCCTGTCCTGTAAATGGAAATAAACAATGTGAACGAATGCATCATGAATTAAAGTTTCTGCCTTTAATTATGCCTTTTCTACTTACAGTGGGGCCTTGACTTACGAGTGTCCCCACTAACGAGTTTTTTGAGATACCAGCTGTCTCTCGGCCGATTTTTTGCATTGAGTTGATAGAGTAATTTGAGTTAACAAGCTCCTTAACGAGCTCCTTAATGAGCTCGGTCTCAGAACGAATTAAACTCGTAAGTCAAGGACCCACTGTACTAGGTGATCTCGAGTAAGTCAGTTGGATCTTGAATGTTCTGCTCTATAAAATGGGCATAATAATTCCCTCTCTTCTACCTCAAAAAATCAATGTAAGGATCAAATGAGAATATGGTGGGAAAGGGCATTGTAAATTCTAAAAATCATGACATGCACATAAAATACTGTGATTAGAGAATGCACAGCAATTCTAAGCTGATGTAGATGACTAGAAATTAATACTCCATCACTCCATGATCTCTTTTGGGGAAAATAAAAGTCAGGTCATATAAAGTAATTCTATAAGCTGTAGAGTGTTAGAAGGCCAGAAGATTATGAGGACAGGTTGACCAACACCTCTACCCAGGCTACATACAGCATTGCAACACTACGAGAAAACAAACCTAGAAAGAAAGCTGAGCCATCATGAGGATCTAGGTACCCTCAAACCCATGAGGTTCTGGGTTCCTGCAGGTGGTGCCAGACCTGGAACTGTTAATTACTGGCCCACCAGGAGGTAGGCACAAAAAAAGGGAAGAAGTGCATAAAAACGTTTATAGAAATTTTATATAACTGTGGCATCCAAATATGTGACCAATAGGCTTTATTTTAAAAGTTTTTTGTCTATTAATTTATTTTATTGCATTTTACAAAAGTATTGGTTCCTGATGCGGTAGGGGAAAAAATAGACCTTCAGCACAGATTGCAATCTTGTTTGGGGAGTGTGGTCTAGATAGAGTGTTGCTGGGATCAGAGTTGCCTTCATGGAACATTCTCAGGCAGCAAAACTCAGAGGTTTTTGAATCAGTCACCTTAACTTTGCACTGTGGCTTTCTTCCTTCTTAATCATGTAATAGGGAATTTAACTTTTCTGCTTCTTTCTTTCTTGAAAAGGGTCAAGTCTCTCAACCTGAAAGGTGTAGTAAGGATGACAACATAAACAACTAGGTGTTCAATTGATTGCAGCTATTATTGGTCAAAGGATCAGAATCCTGAAAGAAAAGATCTCTGTTATGAAGACAAGTCCACTCCCCTCTCTACCTCCTCCCTCCCCCCACCCACACACACACAGGGACCTTAGGACTATTGTTTACCGCAGGATTGTACTCTGTCACAAAGTGGAGACTGTTGATCTCAATAAAACGGCTTAATCTGGTGTCATCAATGTTTTCAATGTCTTCACTCTCTAAATTCAGTTGTTCATTATCCACCTGCATAACACAGAAATAATAATTGTCACTGTTCTCTTTATTTGTTCATTGACAAATGTTTCTGGAATATCTACCACGTGACAGGCACTGACTACAGCTCCAAAACCAGAAAGGTAAATAAGAAATGTTCCCTGCCCTGAAGAACACCCTGTCCTGTGGGATACAAAGTGAACAGACATGTCCCACAGGAGGTAGCAAGTGTCATCACAGGGGAATCACAGGCCCATGTGTCATCTGAGGAAGAGCAGAAATGCTTTCAGGAAGAGGTAGCTCCATTGGAAGGCATACATAAATGTGACATATAGAATATCTTATCATTCAGTTCAAAATGTTAAAATTTCTGTTCTTATTTCTTCTCTAAACTTTTGTTTATTTAGAAGTGTATTTTATAATTTGAAAGTAAGATTTTCTGGTTATTTACTTGTTATTAATTTCCAGCTTAAGTTTTACATTTTATATCTTTTGTCAACTTCTCTATATATTATATATGTCCTTAAAATTGTATATATTCTACAGTTTTTGGGTGTACTATTCTGTATATGCACCTGTGGTCACATGGTTAATTGTATAGTTCAAGTTATCTCTATTCTTATTGATTTTTTAAAACCAGTTTATTCTATTAGAGAGAAATGTTAAAATCTTCCACTATGATTATAGTTTTAACTATTTTTCTTACAATTCTGCCAGTTATTCTGTCTGTATATTCTCAGGTGATGCATTAGATTAATGCAAATTTAGAATTCTTAAAGTTTCTGGGTAAGTTGAAACTTTATCATTATGAAGGTCATTCTTTATCTCTAAGGATGCTTGTCTCAATGGCTACTTTGTCTAATATTAATATACTTATTCCAGCTTTCTTTAGGAAATGTTTGCATGGTATATATCTATCCTCTTTATATTTTACTTTTATTAATGTGTCATTATGTTTAAAAATAATGTATCCCTTATAAAAAGCACAGTTATATTTTAAAATCCAGTCTATATTTAATTGGATTCTTTTTGCAATGTAATTACTATATTTAATTAAATATTCATTTCCCATTGGCTCTCCCAGTTCCAAATTCATTTGATTCATTTCTGGCCTATTTTGAATTGGTTGAGTGCTTTGTATTATTCCTTCTTTCCCTTTATGGGTTTGGAAATTGCACAGGCTTTAATTATTCTTTTAGGGATTACCAGCTTGCATTCTACAATATGCATTCTTTACTTACCTGAACCTAATGTTAATTGGAAATTTTACCCTCTTCTTGGACAATGTACAGTAGAACATTTTAGCACAGTTTGTCTCTTTCCAACTCCACTCCAGTTGTGTTTTAATTCTAAATCTCACAAGACATTATCATCATCCTATATAATAAAAGGGTCATATGCAAATCAACTGGTCACTATGACATGCAGTGACCATGAGGGGGCAGACGCTCAATGCAGGACCACAAGCTGGGCTGATGGCTGGCGAGCACAGCAGCATCTGTGGCAGCACTAAGGAAGTCTGACTGCAGCTTAGGCCCACTCCCGGGGGGCGAGCCTAAGCCGCAGTCAAATATCCCCCAAGGGCTTCCAGACTGCTAAAGGGCACAGGCTGGGCTGAGGGGACAGCCCCACCATGAGGGGGCAGACGCTCAATGCAGGACCACAAGCTGGGCTGATGGCTGGCGAGCACAGCAGCATCTGTGGCAGCACTAAGGAAGTCTGACTGCAGCTTAGGCCCACTCCCGGGGGGCGAGCCTAAGCCGCAGTCAAATATCCCCCAAGGGCTTCCAGACTGCTAAAGGGCACAGGCTGGGCTGAGGGGACCACCCCCCCTCCCCCAGTGCACGAATGTTGTGTACCAGGCCTCTAGTTGTTATATAGTCAACATACATTTACATTCATGCATATATTTACATATTGTTTCTTTTCATTTCTTCCTGCATTTTTGAGCTTTGCTTCTATTTGGAATTTTTTCTCTTAACCTAGAACACGTTTTGATATTTCCTTTAGCATGAAACAGTTCTGTTGGTTGACATAGTCTCTCAGTTTTGGTTGTTTCAAATATCTTTAATTAACCTTTGGTTTTGAAGGCTATTTTAGCTGGGTGTAGAATTCTAAGTTGACAATTTTCCTTCAGTTTTTTGCAAGATATAGTTCTTTATATTCTGCATCCCACTCTTTCTTTTGAGAAGTCATCTGTGAACCTTAACATTACTTCTTTGAGATTACTTTGAGGATAATTTCTTTTCTCTGATTTAAGATCTTTCTTTTTTTTCTTTGAGAGTCAGCCATTTTATGATATGGCTAAGAGAAGATTAGCCATACCATATATAATATATGTATATCTGCAAGTGTATGTATATTTTTATATTCATATTTGATAATCTTAATCTAATTTCAGGAATTGAGGTAACTTGAATCTGTGCTGCACCCCTTGGTTCATTGTTATCTTTAGGGTATTGTTCTTTAGCATCTAAGTGGAGCAAAGGGTATTTTACTAGATCTACCTTCTACTTACTCTTCTGAGCTCTGGACTTCAGCATTTACTTTTAGGGCTCTTTGAGGCTCTCAAAAATGCTAATAAAACTCTAAATCTCTTGGCTGCTTCTTCTAGAACTTGCAAAAGCCTCCCAGATGAAAAGCACCCCAAATACATGATTTACCTCTTGAGTTTCCAGCGGTTCTCAACCTGTGGGTCACGAACAATGAAAATACATCCTGCATATCAGATATTTACATTACGATTCATAACAGTAGCAAAATTACAGTTAGGAAGGTTGAGAAACACTGCTTCTTAATAATTCTTTAAAGCCCTTATTTTCTGGCCCAGCTTTTTAAAAAATTGCCTTTGGTGGAAGAGATTGTCTAGTTACTGGATCTATTATCCCAGATTTGGTGGAGGGATTGTCTAGTTACCTGATCTAGTATCCCAGATTTACATGTTTGAACTACCTTTCCACCATACTCAGATATATTAAAAGATGGAGCTTTCTATGGCCAATCATTGTTCCCAGATTTTCTCATTCATCTCCCCTAGTCTATTCATGCACATAAAAACACAAGGTAATGCTTCCATCACCCATAACAACCATGTCTACAAATAAAAATAATCAGGGCTAGGTCCTGAACAATTCTGTTTCCTAAAACAGTTTGGGCCACTTTTGAGATCCTTGGGCTATCAACCCTTGGAATCTCTTTTACCTCTTTCCCTTACATCTATTATCTTATGTAGGTTCTACCCAATCAGATCTTGCCAAGGATCAGGATCATTCTTTACCTCAAATTATGTTCTCCCAATCTATCCAGCAAAGCCAAAGGTAAGTATTATTTTAGTTTATAAATGAGGGAATTCAAGCAAAGGTAAATTAAGGTCACTGAGCAGTAAGAGTCCAAGTTTGTTCTTTATTGTCATCCCTATGATGACTCTATTGTTTGTTTTTTAACTTCTTTTGTTCAAGGTGGCTTCCCATTGAGTTAGTTAAAAGCAATATGGACCTCCAAAAAGCTCAATGCACTCTTTATGATCAATTTTATGAATTCTTGGAATATCTGGTCATTCTTTTATAATCTATTTGTTTACAAATTATTTGTTGAACGCCTTGTATATGTTAGGCACTGAGGCACAGACATGCTGACATTCACTCAAATAGCAATTTAATCACTTAATTCATGAAGGGTGTAAGAGATCTTTCCTTCCTATCTTTGCAACGTTTTTTTTTTTTCCAGTTTCTTCGTATTTTATTTACTTTTTATTCTATTTATTTAAACTAAAAAGGTCCAAAACCAGTTTAAACACTGTTTTTTAATCACTTTATTTTACTGATTTTGGGAGGGGACTGTTTTCACAACTTCAGTTTATCAACTGAATGCTGAGGTGCAGAAAAAAAAATCATCAAAACCACAGGATATTTTAATTGCTTTAAAATCCATAAAGTTCTGAGTAGAAAGCTCAGGGCAGAAATATACAAGCAAGAGAAAAAGTCTTCTTAGGTGGAGTCCTTGCCCACCCTACTACTATTCCCATCCCCAAGTCAGTAAGAGTGAGGAGAGAAATAAAATGAGCTCATTGATCTTTGCTGCTTAAGGCTGGGTTTGCCAGCTGGCATGTCTTTCCTACTTACGTGTTTGCTAATTACAAACATCAAAATCATCATCATTATTATAATCAGGGCCTTTTTACTACTTAATATGTCTAAATACTTCCTGATTATTTTTCTAGGAACTTGGAGATCTGGTGCCTGCACTTCAGCTGACATGGCTGTGCTCTGGGCCAGGAGCCCCTCCCTCTGGCACTCTCTTCCAGGCAGTCCCTCGCATTTCCCAGAACCGGGAAAACAGGAAGCGCCACTTACATTAGGCGTTTCGTTTCTGGCCTTCAGGAGCGCAGTATATTGGAGATACAAGCTATTAAATGATAACATTCTCTAAGAAGCCCAGAGCTTTACTAAAAACCACCCTCCTGAAGTCTATCCAGTTTGTAGCACTTCTTTTACGGAAACATGCCTGATTATTTCATTATTTCTTAAACTAATAAACTCTGGAGCATTCATGTGTAGGGGTCTTGGAAACAAGATTTGAACAGGAAATCTCCCTTCTGTAAGGGAAATTATTTGCATAATGTTCTGGAAAGAAAAATCTGACCCTGGAACTAAGAGTTGAGAAAAAAAACAAAAACCCTTTTATGTATTTTTCCAGTTTTTGGAAAGAATTTTACTGGAGATATCATATTATTTTTTCTCTCCAAGTAAAGAGACACCAGAAGAAAAATAGAAACAGTAAACCAGAAGGATTACCACCTTAAAATATAATTTTGAGTTTTCCCTAAGAGCATTTGAAATGAATTATTTTATGTTTTAGATACTGCTTATACTAGTATCATACCAATAGATTTAATCATTCCTTTTCTGTTGATTAGTATTTCAGCAATATTCCCTTCAATTGCTGTGCATTTCTCTAGTTAACAACCCAGTTTTTCATAAAATGTATTAAAGTCATCTTAGTTTTTACACCACAATTATAATATTAAATATCTTGCATCGCACTGAGAAGTCACTTGTTAAACAAATGCCCTCATGTCTCGGTTTCTTTTTATAAGCTGCTTAGCTTACATTATGTTGAATACATATATTCTTTGGAAAAACATTTAATCATTTGGCACATATTACTTCTTGCATTCATTATCACTTTATTTTTATGTAGTACTCCTTCTGATTATTTGGCAAGGTGCATTTCTTATAATAAGTATCCAACAAATAACTGTAAAAGGAATAAAAAAGAATGCCTCTACTGTGTTTCCATTACTATCCCAATGGAGCAAAGTTAGGCTAATATGTTTTTTAAAAATAGAAGTGATTGAGAAAACCCAAAGCAGATTAAATGTTCAAATAATATCTGAAATTCCGTCTTAGTACCAAGACTGTGTCTCTGTGAGGACAACAGTAAGTTCTGTTGGAGTGAAGGGGAAAATAAGACATTTGGGGGGCTAGCTGAGTCTGTGCCGGTAACCTGCCTTCTGACATACACCCTCGCTTGCCGATAAACGTACACCCTTTGCCGATAAACTCCATTCTTATCAAACTCCATTCTTATCCGTGATGCCTGTCCTGCCCTGCAGAACCTGTTTCCCGGAATACTCCCATTGTACAGAGACCATAAACCATGAACCATATACAATCCCCGAAGGGGCCGGTGCCAGTGCTGGCAAGCCTCTGGGTGTGATCTCACTTCCCCATTCCCAACTCACGGGGAAGCCTGATCCATATTTTGGGGACAAAGGAACTAAGAGTATAAAGGGAAAGCTTCGTCCATATCCATCACTCCGGATTTGGAGACTGACTCCCCTGAGTCATGGCACTAGTGCAATCTGCAATAAAGGCAACTTTTCTGAATATTCTCTGAGTGCCCGGCTGATTAATTCTCCTGCGCTGCCTGGCAGCTTATCTGTGTGGAGGCCCTGCAGTCACACTCACACAAGGCAAGCTGCCATACATCACCCACAGGCTATCATACAGGACTTGTTATTGTCCCATTTTACATAATTTTCCCTGATGATATTTATCTAATCAGTTTGCATTATTTCTGGAAAGTGATGCATTCCATGAATATAGATAGCATTTGCTGGTCTCTCATTTTTATGCACCAATATTTCAAGCATCTGGTAATGTGAACCATTATAGTCTTATCATGTCTTCATTTATTACTGTTTTAATTTACCTCTACATATGTTCTTGCAGTTGAAAATAATATATGTCCAAATTCTGAAATTTTATTGACAAAATATGTAATGTCTAGATTAAATCTTGAGAAATAACCCTGGGGTTTGATAAGTAGTGCCAGTGGGATAGAGAAATGTTTTAGGAGAAAGTGGTTACAAAAGCAGGCTTTGAATGAGGTGAATCTAGGAGTAAAAACAACCGTGTTTGCCCTAGCCAGTTTTGCTCAGTGGATAGAGTGTCGCCCTGCAGACTGAAGGGTCCCAGCTTCAATTTCTATTGAGGGCACATGTCCAGGTTGCAGCTCGATCCGCAGTGGGGGGCGTACAGGAGGCAGCTGATCAATGATTCTTTCTCGTCATTGATGTTTCAATCTCTCTCTCTTTCACCCTTCTTCTCTGAAATCAATAAAAATAAACAAAAAAGCAAAGGTTTTCTTCAGGAATAAGTGCTTTAGAAAGTCGCCGTAGTATCGTACAGAAGGTGTGCTTTGATGAGAGCAACACAGAGTATGAATCAGATATCTGTTGTGTTATAGTTGTGAGACTTTGGACAACTGAATCAACCTCATGGAGCTTTAGTTTCCTTATTGATAATGCAAGGATAACAGTAATTACTTCATTTAATTTTTGTGAGAATTAAATGGTAGAACAATGGAAAACATCTCGCATAGTGCCTATCATAAATTAGGCACTGAAACAAACAAACAAACAAACAAAATGTAAATCTAAGATAAAAGTAGGTACCAGAAAATTTGCAGCATTTCACGTTTCCCAATGTAAAGTAGATTAATTTTGGTTGATTCTCTCTCCGTCTCTCTCTCTCTCTCTCTCTCTCTCTCTCTCTCTCTCTCTCATCTCAAACTCCTGAATAATAATTCTACTAAAATATGGACTCAACTTTGAAAGAATAAACTGAGAAAAAAAAATGTTTATCTAAAAGCTGGCATGGCACAAGTTGAACCTCTCCCAGACCCGCAAATGGAGCAGGGTAAGGACCAGTGTGTTTGCTTTTGGTATGGCACAAAGTAATCCTGTTCCCAGAGGTCTCAAGAGTTCATTCCGAGCAGGTCTGTCACTAGTGATAAACAAAAAAACATGCTAAATAAGAGGGAACAGCTCTGGGAAGTCATCATCAGGACTGTATAAGGAATGAATTGTAAGCAGAGTTAATGCACCCATTAGAGGCTGTAAAGCCTGTAGAGACAGACGTGGGAAGTAACAACACTTGTTTTTCTTCCTCACATGTGCATCTTGGTAGCACTGACTTTAAAATCAGGCCTTCGTAAGATCTAAAAACAGCAAACCGGCAAAGAAGTACTTTATGAAGCTGTCTTTGATTAGAATTTTCCTATTGAAGGGTTACTATGAACGGTTCAGCAAGAACATGAAAGGCATTAACCTAACCTTCCATCTCTTTCTTATCAAAGCTTTTCACAGAAGAGCTTGGTTTAATCCTTTTTTCACGATGGTGAAAATGCAAACCTACAACTGCTGTCCAGGTGGGGAGAGGTCTGCTGAAGGTACTCATGCACCCAGAGACATACTTTGGGAGGTGAGTTCATTCCTCAAACTCTTTGTGTCTTCTGGATACTAGAAGTCATGGTTTCTGCCCTTGAGTAATAGGGGAAAAGATGAGACAGACATAGAAATATATGACCGGCACTACAAAGTGGTAAATGAAAATAGAGATATGCAAACAGGGAGGGATAGTTAGGCCAATTTGGAGATTCCAGGAAGGCTTTCTGAAGGATAAGATGTCTGACTGATTCACTGGAATGTGAGAAAGAGTTAGCTGGGTAAGGCTAAGTGAAAGGGGGCGCTTGGGGGCAGTAGCCTTCTAGGCAGAGGAATAGCTGTGTGAAACAATGAACTTGGATCATTATACTATGTACTAGTGGCCTGGTGCACAAAATTCATGCACATTAAAAGGGAATTAATTAGAGGAAATATTTTGATATTGCTATTTGTCCTTTCTCTATAATAGAAGTGTCAGAGATGAAAGAAAATTAGCAAAATATATATGAAAATCTTCCTCCTGTCAGAGTCTGGGGCACACCACGGGACCCAGAGTCAAGTCCCTGTCCACCCGCGTGCACCTTGAAATTGCGCGAGGCCCAGACCTGGCCGGCCCCACCCCCGTCAAGTCCCGCTGGGTGGGGGGGAGGAGCGCAGCTTCAGGTCCCCCAGCCTGGTGCTGGCCAGGGGGTGCAGCCTCAGGTACCCCATCAAGCCCCGCCGAGTGGGAGTTGCAACCTCAGGGTCCCCGTCAAGCCTTGCCGAGTAGGGGGCTCAGCCTCAGGTCCCCTGTCAAGTGCCATTGGGCAGGGGGCACAGCCTTGGGTCCCCTGGCCTGGTGCCAGTTGGGGGGCATAGCCTCAGGTCCCCCAGTCCAGTGCTGGGGCAGGAGGGCAGGGCCTGAGGTTCCCCGTCAAGCCCCACCAGGCGAGGGTGGGGGAATGAGGCGCAGCCTCAGGTCCCCTACCCCGGCCCAGCAACACACAGCCTCAGGTCACTGCTGATCGCTCGTTATGGCTCGTTACGGGAACCCCGCCTCCTCTGTGGGCACAGCCATCTTGTGATGGGGTGATGGAGTGAGGGTCAATTTGCATATTACCTCTTTATTATATAGGATAGTTGGGTGTTGAGAGGGTACAGCCCAAGGTAGGAATGTGCTAGAAAAGGGAATAGAGAAGCAGCTAGTGGCCATATCATAAAAGACGAGATGCTTAAATATCTTGATTTTTACCTTGTAAGAAATGGGAAATATTAAAAAGTTTTAAAGAAAGGAGTGCCATGGTCAAATTTCCATTTTAAATTCATCATGGTGATACCAATCTAGAAATTACTTATGAAGTACTAAAAGGGAGATCAATTAAGAAGCTATGGAATTGTCTGTGCCAAAGGTGCTAAAAATCTAAAAAGAAGAAAGAAGTGGAAATAGGGAAAAAGAATATAGGTTCAGTAAGAGAGGCAGCCCAATTTGAAAAAATTAGAGACCAAATGAACATAGCCATTCAATGAAAAAGTTTTAGAGGGAAGAACATGATTCAGCAGGTGCATATGATAAAGTCAGTTTTGAACACATTGAGACTGTAGTGCTTATGAGGGACTTCTACCAGCAAGCATTTGAATTACAACAGAAGTCCAAGCTGGAGATAAAACATTCCAAATCCTCAGCAAACACTTAATAGTCTAACATGAGAAAGAATTATATTACCTAAGGATTGCACATTCATTCACACACATGTTTATTTACTTAATGAACACTTAATGAGCACCTGATACACGGCAGGCACTCTTTCAGGCTCTGTAGTTGACGTAGTGCCCCACAAAGCTTGGATTCTATAACCTATATTGGGAAAAGCATTGTGCCAGGCAGTAGTATAGATGCAGGAAGAGAAGGCCTCATGGAGACTAAGAAAAGAAGAGAAGGACCAGGAGAAGCAGGCTCCTAGAAGTTAAGGAAAGAGAGATTCAAGAGAAAAGTGGTCAACATGTCACACATGGCAGAGATGTTCAGGACAATAAGACCTAAAGAGTGTTCATTGGATTTGGAAATATGGAAACGTGCTGACGGAAGCAGTTTTAATGGAGTGTAAGGTATAAACTAGACAGCAGTGTATTTAAGAGCTTAAAGAAAGTTGGAGATAGTGAATATAAACTGCATGTAAAGAGAGGTTTGGATGAGAAGCGAAAGAGATAGATAGGATGGAGGTGAGAAGGGGAAGGACATCTTGAAACTATCTTTTGCCCAATTTCTCATTTCCAGTGGTCTCTGGTCATCTTTACTTTGATACTCTGCCAATAATACAAACTCAACAACTAACCACAGCATCAGAAACCCCTATTTCTGAATAGGCCCTCACTATTCCTAGGTACCTTAACGTTAAGCTTGGCCTCCTTTGCTTTCCATCATTTTGACATCTTATTCTTGCAAGCCCTGCCTTTTCTTCACTTTCTAATGTGATTTCTCAACTACAGACCCTTCTTACCTGATCTGTTTTGCCAGCCTAACAATTTCTCTCCACTCTTATCTTTTTGCCTGGCACTCCATCCTACCCATATGCCAAAATAACATTGCTAAAATACATTTCTGTTCATGTTACTCCCCCGATCTAAAGGCCTTAGTGCCTTTTCTGTGCCAACCAAATTAAGTGGAAACCTATCAAGCTAGTATTCAAATTTCTCCACAATATGATTCTAATCAAGCTTCTCTGTCTTATATTCATTTCCCCAAAACATGTACCCTGAGATCCAGTCAAATTGGCCTGATCATTGTTTTCTAAGTTACATTTTTGTTCCCATTTTAGCCATGAATTCTCTTCCACCTTGTTCAAATTTTACCTATCCGTTAAATCCCCGTTCAGTTTTCTTTTTTATAATTTTTTGATCAGAATACCTACACTGCTTTTATCCTTTGAACCCTTATAATATTTTACCTATATGATGCTCTTTGTATTATAGATACTGTGTATTATGTTTACAATCTCTACTATATTTTAAGTTCTATGAGAGAAGAGAATACAGTTAATGTGCTTTCATTGTTAATATCTTGCATAAGACATGCAGTAGTTGTTTAATAAATTCTTACAAATGTAAGTCAACTCCCCCAAATATAAAAGCATACATTTTAGAGCTCAAAATGATCTTAGAGGTGACATGGTTGAACCATTTTATCTTATAGAGATGAAAGAATTGGGGCTAAGAAATATTAAGTGATCTGCCTGAGTCACATGACTGGTCAGCAACAACTCTCATCTCCTGACTCTCAGTCCAGACCTCTTTCCATTTCACGACAGCATCTGTTTGGGAAGCTTGAGTTGAGCCATCATCCTTGTCACCATTGTCCCTGACGCTGGCATCATCATTAGTGTTAAAGACATAGACTTCTTTCTAGTCTCACAAGTTTGTGAGTTCACAACCTAAGGTACTAGTAAGTAAAAACCGGGAGAAGGCTTGAGCTGCCCACCCAACTTACCAGACGAAAGAGAGAAATGGTGTTCTCAGTGATGTTGTAGTGAGCCAGAACCTCAGGATCAGTGCTGATTCCAAATGACACGTCTTGGAATTTTTGCACCACACCATGGAAGACGGGCACTGCTGGTATTTCTAAATCCTAAAAGCAAGGAGAAATGACAGAGGTCATTTTGGAGGAGAGAGACATGGAAACAGAACATGCAATTGAAATGTGCTCATCTAACTAGAAATCAGAGACTTGACTTAGAGTCTGAGCTGTGTGGGTTAATTGATAGCTACAAAATTGTGGCTAAGCCTGGGACTCCTGCCTGGTCTTACCATAGAACTTGCAGTTTATTAGTAGCTGAGAGGGGCTTCAAAATCACAGGGCCCTGCAAAAGTGGGCAGCATTGTCATTGATATACCTGAGAAGGCAAATGTCTTAGGAACAATTGGTGGAAGCAAAAAGAAATTCAAAAATAAGAAAGTGTTATGAGCCCTAACCGGTTTGGCTCAGTGGATAGAGCGTCAGCCTGCGGACTGAAGGGTCCCAGGTTTGATTCTGGTCAAGGGCATGTACCTTGGTTGCAGGCACATCCCCAGTAGGGGGTGTGCAGGAGGCAGCTGATCGATGTTTCTAACTCTCTATCCCTCTCCTTTCCTCTCTGTAAAAAAATCAATAAAATATATATTTTTTAAAAGAAAGTGTTATGAAAAGGGCCAAAAATAAAAAATAAATATGGAAGCTTAAAATTTTGTTAACAAAGGTCAGTGCAGGTTGTGAAAGAATAGTCCTCCTTCTACTGTGTGCAAGCCCGAGGTATTGCCCATGAAAGATACTGTTTATGCGTTGCTCCAACCCAGGATCCCAGGCCTGCAGGAGGGGGCAGGGAAGCCACTTGAGTCGAGTCCAGTCTTACTACAGCAAGCTGACACCATTTTCCCTGCTGTCACAGGAACATTGCCCACAACAGCTCCAAGTAATAAACAGTGAACATATTCTTCCCTGACATCTCTCTGGTCTGAAGGAGATGGGCAAAGAGAAAAGAAAATGGCTAGCCTTGCATCCGGGGTCAAGCAAAGGGGGCTGGCACCCTGCTCATCTGAAAGGATGCGTGGAGTTCTTTGAGGCTGTGAACAATTGTTAATCTAGACTTCCCCTTAAAATGCAATTGCTCACAGATCAAATGACGGCACCTGGTGGCTGTCTAAGTTATTGCACACTTCTCCAGTTCCACTTTTTTTGCCCCTCCCTGCCTTTCCCAGGGTGGCTGCTTTTGCCTACAGCTCAGAGCTCTCATCACTGAAAAATGTGCTCCCTTTTTATCATCGCCTCTCCCCTCCCCGCCAACCCCATACATCTCCTCACAGCTATTTCCAGCTGTGTACACAGAATCCACAGGGTGATGATGAGTTGGAATTAATGAGTGAAAACTGACAACAAGGTCTGCAGTGAGAGAGCAGGGGGCTTGATCAGCTGTGAGAATCACCAGATGTTACCTCCAGAGAAAGATAAAAATACTGGAACGATGCTCTCTCATTTATGGCTGCTTTCATTAGCCAGGCAGCCAATCTGAAAGACCGAGGCTAACACCTTCGATGTATAACATGTCATCCTTCTTCGACATTTCAGAGCAAACAAAGATATAGAAGAAGGAGGGACTACCTATTTGGTAAGGAGTTAGACGAAAGTCACTATTGACTCGTGCATTGCCCGGATGGTAGAAGTTGGGTTTACTCTGCCCCTGACTCAGCAATCAGATACTGACGTAGGTTTCAAAGCACCCATAGATGAGGAGACCCGGAGTCTCCTTCGCAGTCTCAGAACTTTTGAGAAAGACATAATTCAGAGACTGGACATGCCTAAAAATGGAGAGTTCTTGAATGAAAATGCTGAAAGCAAACTCTGAGCCCCATTGGCTTCTAAGGTAGCGCCGCCTGCCAGCCGGTGGCGGTCATGGCTCCTTTGAGGCCCGGCATTCCTGCCTCTTGGGGGGTTGAAAGCAAACTCTGAGCCCCATTGGCTTCTAAGGTAGTGCCGCCTGGCCAGCCGGTGGCGGTCATGGCTCCTTTGAGGACCGGCATTCCTGCCTCTTGGGGGGCGTAACAAGCAGGGTATCTGACAAACCTGGAAGAAGCCTATGACAGCCACCTCAGCAGCAGCAATGAATTCCATGGCAGCTGGGACACCCGTGAGCCGCACAGGTTCCTGGGGAGCACTGGAGCCATCTAGACACGCACACAGAGAAGCAGAAGGTGTTAGGGTGATGACACCCTAAGAGAAGTAGCAGCTCTAATTAATAGGGGCATCTACCCTGTTTCTTTCCACACTCAGGCAAGGAGCGCTAGGGGTGCAATGATTATTCCAAAGCTTCATTTTTTTTAGCCAACATATGGAGGGTGACCCCACCTTGTGGCCACTCTCTGAAGGATAATGCCAGACTTCTCTCTTCTCCACCAGGCAACACAGCCATTTCCTGGGGGAATATTCTAGGTTTGGAGGAAAAGTACTCAGAGTATGACTCTGTTCCCTTTCCTTCTCCTAACAACACTTTCGCCCTCTGGTCACCCAAGCGCCGTTTGCTTTTCTTTGTTTACCTGAGGATTCTTGAATTTCTGCAGCAACATCTGGGGACAGCTTGCACGTGAAGAGAAATAACAGAAACAGGCATCTGGGTGGTGTCGCTTCCATTCTTCTTCTTCTGCTCCTGATCCAACCCCTGGACTTTGTGTTTTGGGACACGGACTCAGGGCAGCCTACTCTGTACTTCGTGGGCTGTGGTGTTCTTAGAGCTTTGGGAACCTTGCAGCTGGCTCTAGGGGGACCTTCAACTTCTGAGATAAAAGACCGAGGTTAGTGACAGGACCTCTGCACAAAACCAACCAGAAGAAAGTCAATTCATTTAAATAAGAAAACAATGTTCTATGCCAGGTATTGACCTAAGCTCTAGGGATACAAAGGTAACTATGATCTGATCTAGCCTCTCCCAGCTTAGATTGTTAATGTGAGAAATGGACAAATAAACATCATTTAAATATAAAATGAAAAGTGAAAAAAAAAAGAGGAACCCATAGAGCACTGTGAGAGGTCAGACGAAGGATGTTTAGGACAGTGGTGGGGTTAGCGAAGGCTTTTTTCCCTGCAGGGAATGCCCAACCAGAGGCCTGAGTAAGTAATTTTGCCAGACAACAAAGATGGAACCTGGGTTTCATGTAATGAGACAAAGCCCAGCGATGCAAATGTAATGTGAGAGAGAATTATTAGTGATTGAGTATTCCGAAGGGAAGGAAATGATCATTATGGGCAGAAAGGTATGCTGGGACCAGATCACAGAGGGGCTTATGAACGAAGCCTAGGAGCTTCAATTTTATTTGTAGGTGATGAGAATCCATGGAAAGATCTTAAACAGGAGAGAAACAGTGTCTGATTGGGGCCAAGATGACTGTGGAACTCCAAGAGACCCCATAGGCAGTGGGAGACATAGGTCTCAAGATCAGAAAAAAACAAAAACTGTCATAGGATAATACCATCAAATAAAACAAATTGTGAATTTCTTCTGTTCATATTTTGAAGGTTCATTGCCCATTGCAGGAACAGGGGACCCAAAGTGTTCCCAGGGATGTAAATGCCTCCTCTACTATGTCCTGCCCCACCCCCTCCCAGGAACCATCCAGTTACCATATTTGTTCAAACGAGGAAAGCAAGGAAATGAGAGTCTCAGTCAGGTCATACAATTGCTTTATTCTCACTCTCTTGTGCTGGTTAAGTGTCTCCCAGGAAAGAAGAACCCACATGGCAGGGAATGTGGCTAGGGACGTTCACTGAGCCAGCAGCAACCACAGAACAATCCAGGGGTGGGAATGAGCACTGGAACCCAAGGCAGAAGGGTTGTTAGTGATTCCTGGCCTCTCACTCCTCAAATGGGAATAAGAGAAGAAATATTTCATGACTGTGCATTGAGGAACAGAACTTTGAAGATCTGGCCATGATGGGGGATCAGAGTGGGCAGGATTGAAGCCTGGGTTTTAAGCGTCCAGTGTTAGGGATCACTCTAAGAGAGAGAGCGGGAGAAGATGCGTCAACAAGAGGATGTGAGGGGTGTTGGGGAAGGGGCCCAGCTGTGATGAGGGGGGAGGACAGGGCGGTGAACACGATGTAGAGGGTTCTTCCAGGTGGCAGGGCAGGGACAGGGATGGGCAGATGTGCTCATTCTGTCCACTCCTTCTTAATGGACAGGTTCCACTCCCAGGTGAGGTGGTCGTGCTTGTCGTCATCGGTGAAGAAGGACTTGTTGTGGTAGGTGCCTCTGGCCAGCATGCCTTTGGGAGCCTCCTCAATCGGAGTCAGGAACTCATACTCTTCTGGCCGAGGCCCGTAGCTGCCAACCATAAATGTGGCTTTATCCACTGGGAAGAAAGGGAAGTTCGTTAGGGCAAGAGTCTGAGAGAGAAAAACAAACACTGCGGACTGGAGAAGTTGGAGCACTGCTTACCGGGATCAAAGCCAAGAGCAATGGTGTCCAAGCTTGGCTACACATCAGGTTTACCTGGGCACCTTTTTTGTTTTTTTTCTTAAAAAAATATTTTTTATTTGAGTGCCTTTTAATACTACAGTTTCCTTTGACCCAAAGACTATGGTTCAGTAACCTGCTGTGGGTCCCTAGAATCAGTGTTTTTTAAAAATAGCTGATCCCGAGTATCAGAAAAATTGCGGGATCAGTGCCCTAAATCAATGGAGATGAAGAATGTTTTTATGGAGATGTAGCAGATTATACCATAAAAAAGTCCCAGGTAGTCAAAAAGTATAAAATCCCACTGATGAGGTAAGTAAGTCCTGGGAATGTAATGTACAGCCTGGTGACTATCCTTAATAATATCATACTGTATGTTTGAAAGTTGCTAAGAGAGTAGATCTTAAGAAGATCTCATCACAAGAAAAAAAAATGTTACTTTGTGTGTTGATGGATGTTAACTAAACTTATTATGGTAATCATTTTATAATATATACATATATCAAGTCATTATGTTGCACAAGTAAAACTAATACAATGTTATATGTCAATTATATCTCAACCAAAAAAATTCAAACTAGTTGAGACCTGAATTCTTTTCTAAGTCATAATATTTTGGGCCTCCATTTCTTTTTTATATAATGAACTTCAAGGATCTTTTATCTACAGACTATCATTTAATAAACACATCAATTGGGGCAGATAAAGTAACAGCTGGTGACCAGAATGAACAGAAATCATGGATAGAATAATTTGAATGCAAGAGGAAAATCAATAATTTGATTAAAAAAAGTAAGAACTAGTTTTCTTATCCATTTAGGTACCCTATGTCTTTTGATTGGAGCATTTAATCCATTTACATTTAAGGTTATTATTGATAGGTATTTATTTATTGCCATTTTTATTCTTTATGCTTATTACAGCAGTCCCTTTAATATTTCTTGGATGGGAGCAATTAGAGGGAGGTCAATGGAGGGGAAAAAGGGGACATCTGTAATGCTTTCAACAGTAAAGATAAATTTTTAAGAAAGTAAGAATTGGGACAAATGGTGCAAATAGCTAACCAACATTATTAATAGGTAAATAACTGGAATGTATATTAAGAATAAGTAGGGAATTAGAAAGTGTAAATACAGGTAGGTAGGTAGGCAGGCACTCTTTAGTTAGCTGTTAAGTGTTGTGAATAAGTCTGAAGGAACAGCTACAGGCGCATCCTAGCCCTCTCCCCTCAGTGAGGCAACATAGTCTCCATGCCCAAAAGAAAATGAGAAACTGAACTCTATTTTTCATGAGACTAGGTATTGGAAAGACCAATTAAAATCTTTCAGGTCAACAGTCTTCTGTGGGATCTGAGTAACGGAGTGTTTCTCTATGCAAATTTAACAGACAATTCCTCCCTCTCCCTTGTTTATCGACTTGGTGGAATGGATGCATTACTGTTTCACACCTCTGTGGGAAGAGAGCCCCTAAAGTAGAAAAGGACTGTCAGTGTTCCCATCAGGTTTTCACTCTTCATTTCCCCCTGCCCATACTCATGGAAGAGACCTGAAACCAGGTTCCCAAGGCATGTACAGTTTAGGTACAACTTGTCAAGAATGGCTGCTGATTAAGTAATGCTATATTAGTTGTTTTGATTAGACAGCTTTTCTCAATTCCAGAAAGCATTTTTTTTTCTTCTTTTGTTTAGGAAATTAAGCATTGCCCTCCCCTCTCCCCCAACCTCATCCCTCCACCACTCCACCAACTCTCATTCCCATTAAACACAAAATGCCAGTGGATAGGTCTTTCCTGTTTTGGATTTCTCTGACACTCAGGTTTTATACCTGTAAACTGATTTATTTATTTTTTTATTTACTTTTTACTTTTGAGAGTACTTTTATGTACTTCATTTTATTCAATCTTATCTTGGTTACTCTTTTCATTTATGAGCAATAAAGTTGAATTCCAGAAGCTGAATGCCGAAGGTGAGTGGCTGACTCATCTAAACTATGTCTCCTGAAGGTAGGTCTTGCCATTAACATCTAGGTCAAAGGTATATGTGTGCCTTTGCCTAGGGTGAGAGTCCACGGCTTTTTATCAGATTCTGAAATGAGTCCATGCCTAAAACTTGCTAATAACCAGAACTTTAAGTATCAGTGAGAAGCAGATTTGGGGACAGTGTAAAGTATAGGTCACTTACCTTTCACCCCAGTCCGGTAGGTGTGCTGAACATATTTCAGGCCTGACACAATATCTCTGTTCACCTGTAGGTGGGAAGGACCCAAGCAATTCAGATTAAAGGGGCTCTTTCATTTTCCTCATTATCTAGCCTGATCCTACCTAGCTGTCTTCTCTGAGCATAAGAAGACTGAAGATTGAGTTCAGAGTAAGGGTTATTATTATCATTTAGTGCAGTGATGGCGAACCTATGACACGCTTGTCAGAGGTGACACGCAAACTCATTTTTTTGGTTGATTTTTCTTTGTTAAATGGCATTTAAATATATAAAATAAATATCAAAAATATAAGTCTTTGTTTTACTATGGTTACAAATATCAAAAAATTTCTATATGTGACACGGCACCAGAGTTAAGTTAGGGTTTTTCAAAATGCTGACACGCCGAGCTCAAAAGGTTCGCCATCACTGATTTAGTGTGATGGTGTGGCAGAGTTGAAGAGAGGCGTTCACAAGACTCAATGTTGCCAATCTGGTTTTAATCATTGAAGACTGTGATTTTGGGGTTTGTGAAGGGGAGTGGTTAATTAAGACACCATCTCAATATTCTTCATTACACTTCTCCTTCCTCAATGGTCCGAAGAATGGTCTTGAGCTCCCTCTCCCTGATTCTACTAGCCAGAAGAACGTCCTTGTCTTAGGAAAGGTTACAATGCTACCAATGGAAAATATTGTGTAAATATCTGAAAATCCCAACCTGAGAAATGATCCACTTAGCCCATGAAAACCAAACAACAAGGAGAAAAGCTGTAATGGAAAATCAAGTCTAGGGGGTGGTTGTTCCTGTAATGTAGGTATAACTCGAGGTCTTGAGCTGAAAAGATGGGCCACAGGAAAGCATCCTCCCTATAGATAAATAATGGGTAAAAGCCACTGGTGTCTGGCAAGTATTTTGGATGTCTGTCATTTTCAGACGTTGTCTGAGGTGGTGATACTTTCCCAAGCCTTTCAAAGAAAATTCACTAAGGCAGAATGAAAATATAAACAGTCCAAGTACTTTGTTTTTCCATTAGTCATTTTACCTCGGACTGAACTGGGTTGTCTCTTAATTTTATATGGTGATCATGTTTATACAAACAAATTAAATTGGTCATTGAGTCATTGGCTGGAGGGCTTGGTTAATTGT